CCCGCTGGAAGCTCCGTGAGGCTGCTTTCTCGTATCCCGTTTGCTGGTCTCCGATAGGAGTCCAAGATGGCGGATCCGCGCTGTGTTACCTGATAGGGGACCTCTGCATGAATCTCTCCTCGCTCTCCGTTCTCTGTCAGTTTTCTCACTCCATTTGGTGCTTGGCTGAGTTCTCTATCTCTTCATTTGATGTTTCAGGGTTTCAGGATTGTTGTATTCTCTGTTTGGCTTAGTTTTTCGGATCTTTGCTGTGGATGGACAGTGTGGTGCTTCTGCCTAGAGCGGCATTTTGCCCCCATGAATGCATTTCTTGAAAGACACAAACTACCACAGGTCACTAAAGAAGAAGTAGATAACCTGAATAGCCCTATATCTATTAAAGAAATTAAATATGTAGTTTAAAACCTTCTAATAAAGAAAACTTCAAGACTAGATTACTTCATTGGAGAATTCTATCAAACATTTAAGGAAGAACTCATTCAAATTCTGATCACTGTCTTCCAGAAAATGACATAAGAGGGATTACAGCCCAAATCATTCTATGAGCATTACTCTAAAACCAAAACCAGGAAAAGACATTACAAGAAAAGAAGAAAACTGCAGACAAATACCCCTCATGAACATAGATATACAAATTCTTACCAAATGTTAGCAATCTGAATCCCATAATATAAAAAAAAAAATACTGCATCATGATCAAGTGAGGTTTACGCTATAGATGCAAGGGTGGTTTAACATCTAAAAATCAATCAATGTAATTAACTATATTAAAAGATTAAAAAAGAAAATCTATATGATCATCTCATATAGGTACAAAAAAAGCATTTAATAAATTTGAATACCCATTTCTGATAAAAAACTTTTAGCAAACTAGGAATAGAAGGGTATTTTCTAAACTTGATAAAGGCCATCTATGAAAAACCAAGTCAATATTGTAATTAATGATGAAAAAAAAATGAATGCTTTCTCCCTAAGATCAAGAATAAGGTTAAGATATCCACTTTTACAACTTTTATTCAATATTATACTGGAGGTTCTACCAAGAGCCATAAGACAAGAAAAACAAAAGACATTCAGACTGGAGAGGAAGAAGTAAAACTGTCTTTTTTCATAAACAAGATGGTCTATGTAGAAAATCCAAATCTACAAAATGAATAGCGTAAAAATACAAAACTCTGGCAAAAGATGTGAAAGACTTGTACTCTGAAAACTACAGAACACTACTGAGAGAAATTAAAGATTAAAATAAATGGAGAGATATATATTTGTTCATGGGTCAGCAAACTCAATATTGTTAAAATGTCAATTCTCCCCAAATTGGTCTTTAACTTTAACACAATCCCAACCAAAACCCTAGCAGGTTTTTTTTTTTGTAGAAACTGACAAACTGACTCTAAAATTCATACAGAAATAGAAAGGACTCAGAAATGCCAAAGCAACTTTGGATAAAAAAGAACAAAGTTGGAGGGCTAACACTACCTAATTTCAAGACTTGTAAAGCTACAGTAATCAAAAGAGTGTGTGGTATTGCTGTAAAGACAGACAAATAGATCAATGAAACAGAACAGAAAGTTCAGAATTAGACCCACACATATGTGGACAACTGATTTTTGACAAAAGATGCAAAGCCTATTCACTTGAAAAGGAATAATCTTTTCAACAAATGGTGCTGGAACAACTGGATATCCATATGCAAAAAAATAAAATAAGAACTTCAAGTTATACCTTATACCATATACAAAAATTAACTCAATATGGATCACAGACCTAAATATGAAACCTAAAACTATGACACTTCTAGAAGACAACAGAGGGGAAAAACCTTAGTGGCCTTAGGTTAGGCCAAGATTTCTTAGATATGACACTAAAAGCATAAGTTATAAAAGAACAAATGGATAAACTGGACTTCGTCAAAATTGAACCTTGTAGTCTTCAAAACACCTTGCTAAAAAAATGTAAAGACAAGCCATAGACTGGAAGAAAATATTTGAAAAGCACATACCTGAAAAACAATTTGTCCAGAACATAAAAAGAACCCTCAACATTCAATAATAAAACAATCAATCCAATTTTTTTTAAATGAGCAAAGGTTTGAATAAACACTTCACCAAATAAGATAATATGGATGGCAATTAAGTACATAAAAAGATGCTCAACATCATTAGCCAGTAGGGAAACGAAAATTAAAGCCACAATGAGATATCTTTACACACCTATTAAAACCAAAAACCAAACCCACTGCAATTGAGTCAATTCCGATTCATAGGAACCCTGTAAGGACAGAGAAAAACTGCCCCATAAGGTTTCCAAGGCCATAATCTTTACAGAAGCAGACTGCCACATCTTTCTCCCACAGAGCTAATGGTTCAAACTGCTGACCTTTTGGTAAGCAGCCGAGAGCTTAGCCATTGTGCCACCAGGGCTCCTTACACACCTATTAAGAAGGGCTAAAATTAAAAAGACTAACCATACCAAGTGTTGATAAGGGTGTGGAGAAAACAGAACTTTCATATACTGCTGGTGGCAATGTAAAATGGTACAATCAGTTGGGCAGTTTCTTAAAAAGTTAAACATGGTACAGTGGTTAAGAGCTTGGCTGCTAACCAAAAAGTCAGCAGCTCAAATCTACCAGCTGCTCCTTGGAAACCTTATGGGGCAGTTCTACTCTGGTCTATAGGGTCGCTTTGAGTCGGAATTGACTCGACGGCAATGGGTCTACCATATGATCTAGCTATTTATCTCACACCTAGGTATCTACTCAAGAGAAAGGAAGTATATCTCCATATAAAGACTTGTACAGAAATGTTCACGGCTGCTTTATTTGCAATAGCCAAGAACTGGAAACAACCCAAACGCTCATCAACAGGTGAATGGATAAACAAATCATGGTATATTCATACAACAGAATAAAAAGGAGTGAACTACTGATGTGCACTACAGCATAGATGCATCTCAAAAGAATATGCTGAGTGGAAGATGCCAGAGAAAACAGGGTAAATACTGTATGGTTCTATTATATAAAGTATAAAAAATTCAAACTAATCTCTTGCGACAGAAAGCAGATCAGTGGTTGCTTGGAGGGACGAGGGCCAGAGATGCGTGGGAGAGATTACAAAGGGGCAGAAAGGGCACTACTTTGACTGTGGTGATGGTTTTATGGGTATATAAATATACTACAACTCACTAATGTGTAGACTTTAAATCAGTGTTTATTGCATAAATATTACCTCAAAAATCCTATTAAACATTTGTTTTAATTAAACACTTTGAATCACATTTGAAAATTACTAACTCCGAAACATCCTACGCTTTGAAAATGGTACTTTTACATTTCTGTGGAAGTACCAAAAAGGGCAATAGCATACTAGTAAAAAAGATCCAGAAATATACCTGAGAATCTTAGCGTGTGAACTCTTACCTTCAACTTACTTCATTTTTGATGAAATTCTTCTTAGAAGAATTGTGAATGTAATCTTATTACACTTAAAAGGCATGTAGCATTTCATAAAATCTAAAGCCACTTATAATAATTCAGAATTAATCATGCAAACAGAAGAATAAAGTTAAAATTCAATAATAAGATTAAAAGTTCCTGAGTTATTCTCAATAACTTACTCTATAAAAGGCACCAAAAACAGTAATCTCATACAAATTCTGAGAAAATTGTTTGGTCAAATATTTTCTTCTTTGTTAAAAATTTCAAATTGTGGAACAAAATAAACCAGCAAACATCTCCCATTTTATTAAATCTCTTATTTCCTTTCTAAATACATTTGCTATAATAGCCATTGGAAAACTTTTCCATTCGTTTTCAAAACTGATAATCACTGACATTTACTAATTACTGGCATTTGACATGCCTAAATACAGCCTAAAATGTTGTTTACTTTGTTATACCTTTACTAAAAGTTAGCATTTTTTGGGTATCATCTCTACTGTTAGGAAGCCAATGTAACTTAGTGAAAATTGTTTCCCACTAAAATTGCAGAGATTTATCTAGTTATTTTCACTATTTTCTTCTCTCTTCATTCTGAAGTTTATGGCATTCTGAACCTAAAATATATCTTTTGTTACTTCACTCAAAATAAATAACTTGAATAGTTCATTTAACTAGTGAAAACCATCTGAGTGTGTGTATAAAATTCATTATCAAAAGCATTCTTCTACGTGGTATGCTTCAGATGATGAATTTCATACACACACATGCACACCCACACATTTAAGTTCAGAAAGTATATTATTACATTTTACAAAGCACTAAGTACTAAATTTCACAGATTCTATACATGTTAAATTTTGACAACCATGTCTAGATGACAGCTTAGTGGCTTGATAAAATATTTATCTCAACAGTGACTCTGGTTAGGGTTGTTTTTCTATTTCTGATTTATTACATGATGAACTGCTAGAAACTAAACACACAAAAAATTTTAAATGATTCCTAATAATTACAAATTAACCTCAAAGTATTAGAGGCAAAAAGCTAAGAAGCTGCCAGTATCTGGTTCAGCTATTTGCAAAGATCTATCTTTCTATTTTATTTTCAGTTAAAGATTTTTAAAGATATAAAAATCAGTTAAAGATTTTTCCTACAAATGGTAGCTTTTTAACTTATAGTCAAACTAGCAATATGTGAGATGCATATAAAGATCTTACCTGAACACTTATCCTCTAGGTGTGCTGCCAAATCTGACATCTTCACCAAGGATGGTGCACTTGTTTGAAATTTTGCTTTAAATTTAATTGCTCGTATATCATCATCAAACAGGCACTCACAGGATGACCATGGTGTTGTATGCAACTCTAGGTTTTCTAATATGCAATTGCGCTGAACAAAAAGATATTTAAATTTCCAGATATAATCTTAAACAAACAAATAAAAACAAAAAGTCACCAAAAAGGAAATCGTCTAAGCTCAGAATCAGATTAAACAGATTGATTCAACTAAATCAATACAACTTTTATCACTAAGTAATCTGGGTATAAATAGACAAAATAGGAATATTGCATTATGGCAACAAGATAAGGATGCTAGAGACAATTTTAATGAAAATTTTTTCTAAAGACTTCTTCGTATCCTACAGTTATAATTTATTAATCATAGTCAACTGCTTTACACAATAGGAAATTCCTTTTTTGATATCTACAGCCAAAGATTGAAAAAAAAAAAAAAAAGCAATAAGGACAAAGAAACGGATATAGGTCTGCCATAACCAATATTTCAACATCTCAGTTATCTCATTTAGCTAACTTTCCCAGAAAAAAAAAAAACATTTAGATAGGGTCACGTCTATTTTTAATTATCTCAGTAATAATTCAAATTCTTAAAACCACAGTAGCATAGACTTTGTCATCAAATAACCATACCCTACACATTAGAAAACTCAACTTTAAAACTGTAATAAAACAAAAGAAGGTTTCTTAGCATTAATTTTTCTGATACTAACAGCTATCTGTTTAGTTTTCCACATCAGGCCATAAGTCTAATTGACACCTCATACCCACCTCAGAGTTTCTCTGATTGGACTTTTTTTTTTTTTTTTAAAAGACAATCTTTAGTCATTAAATCTGCATAGACAAAGCATCATTAAAGAACTAAAACATACATATTGCAACTTGCTGCTTAAAACTATTATTTTTTAAATAACTTTGTTTTATTACAAAATATGTGTTTAGAAATCACAGATAAGCTTAATAAATAAATAACACCAATAATTCCATTGCCCTTAAATGAACAGTTAACATTTCAGTGGACATTCAGTTTTTAATTTGTTTGATTTTCACTTAATATATCAAACATATTTTTACATGTTATTAAGTATTATTCTACATTATTTTTAAATACTGCAAAATAAGCCATTACGCAGACATTCCAAAATCTTAAAAACTATTATAACAATCCTCTACATGGGGGACATTTTGGGTTGTTTTTTATTTGTCACTATTATAAAAAATATAGTGATAAACATATTTTCAGCTACATCTTTATGCAGACCCATGTTAAATTCTTAGAGGTATAATTACTGGGCCAAGAAGTACTCCAAATTCTAAGCCTTTCCATGAGTATTGTCAATTGTCCTCAAGATAGATTCTGCTAATTTATATTTCCAATAGTCTATATAGAGTGGCTATTAACCTGTATTTTCTCTATACATTTCTTAGAAGAAAAATCATCTATTACCTATTTGTTTTATTTATGTGTCTTCAATTACTAGTGAGAGTAATTTTTTTTCAATCTTTATTGGCCATTTTTATTTTTTCATTAGGAACCTGCCTGTTCATATCCTCTGTCCATTTTGTCTCAGAGATATTTGTCTTTTGCTTATTATTTTCTGAATGCATTTTTTTATGGATTATCACTTGCATTTTAATTTTGTATATGGTGGGTTTTATATACAGTAGTTTTTGTTGCTGTATTTTTTTTTCTGTTAAACCCGTCAACCTTTATCATTCCAAATAAGTTTGCCTCTATTCTCTTCTACTGCTCATTGTTTAATTTTTTAAAAATATTTGAATCTCTAATGCATCTGGAATTTATTTTGGTACAAACATGAAGTATACATTTAACTGTATTTTTTTTCTCAAATTGTTAGTCAGATGTTACAATCATTACCTATTCTCTTTTTTCAAAAGGAGTAGGTTTTAAGGTACTTCTATTTTTTTAATCATAAAATAACATATTTACTGTAAAATATTCAGACGTAAGAAAAAAGGGGGGTGGTTAGGCGAAATAAGATTGGTCATGTCTTAATAAGCTGGATAATGGTACTTCAGTTTATTATACTACACTCTCTACTTTTGTATGTTTGAAATTTTTCATAACAAAAGGTTTGAAGAATAAATGCAGATGCTCACACATGTATAAAATTCACACCAAAGGCATAAAAATACTACCACACAGAGATATCTGGTATCTGCATTTCCAGTTTTTTAAATGTATACACATATTTATAGTTACATTATTAAAATGGGATCCTATTATATATGACTCATACCAACTCATAGGGTCACTATGAGTCGGAATTGACTTGACAGCAATGGCTTTGGTTTTCTTTTTTTATTTATTTTATATGAAGTTTTATAACCTACTTTTTAAACTAAATAACCTATCACATACATCATTCCAAGTTAATGAATATACATACATTTTGTAGTGAATACCTCTGAGTGTCCACCCAGACCATGAATGACTCCCTTAACTATTTTCTCTCCACTGGAACAGCTTAAGCCTCATATTTTTACTCTGCAGGCCTCCTCCAGGCCATAGGTAACAGAACCAGATCTAATCTTTGCAATGAGATTCTCTTCCCTGGGAATTTGGAAATGGGACAGGTCTCTTGAAAGGAAACGTGAGCTCAGGAGCCATGGAGTAACCATTTTCTGCTTTCCATTTGTTTGAGAAGCAAGGAACATCTGCACCCAGTGAGTAAAGCAGATACACAGAGAAGCTGCCTGGGACCCTCGGGGCTTTTCGGTCGCTGGTTCCAAGTCCCCCCTGAGACCCATCAACACTTTTGCCCTTAGGTGCTATAAGATAACCTCCATATACTATAAATATATGCCCCTTAATTGTTTAAGTTGGCCAGAGTACAGTTCTATTTCTAACTACAAGCCCTCAGTGTCCAGGTTTTAAAAATAATTTTTGAATATATCCCATGGATTGCAAAGCCTTCATGTGCATTTTACCTTTATGATTTTTTTTTAAAGACTCTTATCATTTGAACCCAGTAAAGTTATTTCCTCCTCTAATCTGAGTCTCTTACTCCTTTAAAGACAATGGGAATTGTTTAGCTAAAATATGTTCATCACTGGTCTGTAGTTTATTATTCATGAATTTATTCATAAAACAAGTATCTATTGGGGTAGGCATGGTGCTCTGTGGTGGTGATTCAGTGGAGAACAAGCAAGACAAGGTGCCTGCATTCACACAGCTTGCAATCTACTGAGAAAAAACAGTTAACATGCAAACAGATAAATAAGCTAGATAATTTCAAGTTGTGTTAACTGCTATGAATGGAATAAAAAGGGTGACCTGATAGAGAGCAGTAGATACACTGACAGAGGACACAGTCTTACAGCTGGGACATGAAGGAAGCATCCTCGTGGGAAAGCTAGAGAAAAAGCACCCTTGGCATAATTGGATATCTATCTGTAAAAAACTGAAACGAGACCCATACCTCACACCATGCACAAAAACTAACTCAAAATAGATCAAAGACCTAAATATAATATGGAAAACGATAAAGATTGTGGAAGAAAAAATAGGGACAATGCTAGGAGCCCTAATACATGGCATAAACAGAATACAAAATATAAGTAACAATGCACAAGCACCAGAAGAGAGACTAGATAACTGGGAGCTCCTAAAAATAAAATACTTATGCTCACCAAAAGACTTCACCGAAAGAGTAAAAAGACAAGCTACAGACTGGGAAAAAATTTTTGGCTATGACAAATCCGATCAGCGTCTAATCTCTAAAATCTACAAGATACTGCAAAACCTCAACAACAAAAAGACAAATAACCCAATCAAAAAATGGGCAAAGGACATGAACAGGCACTTTACCAAAGAAGATATTCAGGCGGGTAACAGACATATGAAGAAATTCTCACGATCATTAGCCATTAGGGAAATGCAGATCAAAACTACAATGAGATACCATCTCACTCCAACAAGGCTAGCATTAATCCAAAAAACACAAAATAATAAATGCTGGAGAGGGTGGAGAGACTGGAACACTTACACACCGTTAGTGGAATATAAAATGGTACACTCACCTTGCAAAATGAATTGGCACTTCCTTAAAAAGCTAGAAATACATAAGAGGGCAAAAAGGCGCTCTAGGCAGAAGCACCACGCTGTCCTCCACAGCAGAGATCTGAAAAACTAAGCCAAATAGAGAAAACAGCAATCCTAAAACCCTAAAACAGCAAATGAAGAGATAAAGAACTCAGCCAAGCACCAATGGAGTGAGAAAACTGACAGAGAACGGAGAGCGAGGAGAGATTCATGCAGAGGTCCCTATCAGCTAACGCAGCGCAGATCCGCCATCTTGGACTCCTATCAAAGAACAGCAAATAGGGGATATGAGAAAGCAGCGTCACGGAGCTTCCAGCGGGAGAGAGAACAACTGGTAATTTGCGATATACACTTTCCCACCCCCCACCCTTCTTCACCCCCACTCAGCCTCCTCTGCTTCCCGCGGCCACAGTCTCTTGTCTGGGAAGCACCAGCGGCTTGGATTCCACCCGCTGGCACTGGCCGGCTCTCTGAGTGCCATTTGTTGGCTGCTGGTGTTGCTTTTTTTCTGCTTCTTTTGATTTCTTCTTTACCTCTCATCACCGCCCCCAACTTTCGCTCAAATACCTGGCTCCGTGCACCATCTTTGCTTCTTCCTGAGGGGCTGCAGAGCTCCGATAATCTGTGATATATGCTTCCCCACCCCCCACCCTGCTTCACCCCCACTCGGCCTCCTATGCTTCCTGTGGCCACAGTCTCTTGTCCGGGAAGCACCGGCTGCTTGGATTCCACCCGACTGCAATGGCTGGCTCTCTAAGTGCCATGTGCTTTTGCTTTTTTTCTGCTTCTTTTGATTTCTTCCTTAACTCTCACCACCTCCCCATCCTTTTGCTCAAATACCTGGCTCTGTGTGCCATCTCTGCTTATTACTGAGGGGCTGCGGAGCTCCATTCAAGTGTGGAGCTGCTTCCTGGACCGGGCTGCTGGGCTGGTGGGATCACGGGGCTTTTGCTTATTTTCTTTTCCTTTTCTTGAGTTGGGAGCCCGTTCTGGCCGGGCAGTGCAGTGCAGCTTGGAGCCTACCCCCTCGGCTTGTGCGGACGCAGAGAGATCCCTGAGGGCA